TCTCTTGCCAATCTTAGTATCTTGTCTTTGTTTGTGGTTTTGGTCAGTTTGTCTATAATGTGTCTTGGAGAATATTTTCTTGGGTTGATTGTATTTGGGGCCCTCTGTATTTCTTGGGATTGGATCTTTGGGTGCCTCTCTAGATTTGGAAAGTTTTCTTGCAGGATTTCATGGACTAGATTATCAATGCCCTTATGAGTCTCTTTGCCTTCTGAGATGCCAATTATCCGGATGTTTGGCTGTTTGATGATATCTAGTATTTCTCATATATTATACTCAAATTTTTGGGCAATTTTCTCTGTCTCCGTGGTGGATTTTTCTAGGCCAGCAATTTTCTCTTCTACATCAGAGATTCTATTTTCTGTATGATCTAGTCTGCTTTTAATACTTTCAAGAAAGATTTTGACTTCCTGTATTATAGTCTTTCTTTATCCCTTACAATTCCATTTGATTCTTTTGTAAAGTGTGTAATTCCTCTTTCAGATCATGCAAGAATTTCCTCACCTCCTGGCACTCGTCAGCTCCTTTCTCCATTCTCTTCTGCAGTTCATTGTTTCACTTCTCTTCCATCTCTGTTAGTTTCACCATTATGAATGTTCTAAATTGTTTATCAGACATATCGATGATTTCCATTGAACTGTCTGTGGATGAAGAGGAGCCATTCATTTCCCTTGGTGAAAAGTTATTTTCTTGCTTTCCCATATTTCTTGTGGTCCTGCGGTGATTTCTAGTCATCTGATGGAAAAGTATGTTTCTTCCCAAACTTGAAGTTCAGTCAGAGTGTCCAGGAGCATGCGGAAAAGGAAACACAGAGAGAGAAACAACAGCAACAAAAACAACCAAGAAACAGAGAAAAAGCTAAAAAAAAACTAAAAAAAAATTTTTTTTTTATAAAAAAGCAAAAATTATAAAACCATGCTTGCACCCCGCACAGTAGATTTTCAGTAGAAAATCTTCATTTTTCTTAGTCTCCTGAAATTACTAGTTCTCAGTAGCCATGAAAGGGTCTTCTGTGGCCTGTGCCCTTGCCTTTCCATGTGAGTTTGAGAGCTGGAGGCTGAATTATCAGTGGAAAATCTTCATTTCTCTTAGTCTCCTGAAATCACTAGTTCTCAGTAGCCATAAAGAGGTCTTCTGTGCTCCTCTTGAAGATTTTGAGCATGCACGTACTTGCACCTGGGTGAATTTCAAGCCACTGGGTCTTGGACTTGAATCGTGGTCGGCCATGTGGGAGTCCAGTGACATAACTATTACTCCATCTTCTGGTCCCTCTGGATATTTTCTATATCTCAAATTAAAGAAACTTTGAAATGGAGACTCCAGCAGCATTCTCAAAGCCAATGCCTGGTAAGACCTTTTAGCTGTATAAAGTAAGGAAAACATTTTGAGAAGCTTTGAGAAGATAAAGGAATTTGGGGGATTCAGGGTTGCCTAAGCACAGTATGCCCAGATAGTCCCTCACATAGGGGGAAAATGATGCTCAACTAATGAACAAAGCTTGTTGCTTCTCAACTAATAAATACCTGGAGAAGTCTTAACAGAACGGCTTTTTCACAAATGGGCTGGCTCTTTCTTCTCCATAGGGCTGACCTTTGGGTACTTTAGTAATAAAGGAGGTTTAAGATGAGAAGGGCACAGGGAGATTCCTAGACAATCTCTCTCTCTCTCTCTCTCACACACACACACACACGCACACACACATCCTATTGTTTCCATCTCAATTGATAGATCTTCAGAAGAGTGAAGAATATAGAATTAATTCAAGTTTTGCTATTTAGTCATATTATTCTAAGCTAGTTTCTATATCCTTATGGGTCTCTTGACTATGAAATGAACATTTTTATTCTATTTCAGAGTTGTTTGGATGAACAAACTAAACCTTAACTGCCATATGAAAGTGGCAGTTTTTTCTTCCCCCACTAAGTCTAAGGAATTCTAATTTGTTAGATTTATTTATAGGAGAGCTAATTTTCGTATTAATGACTACTAGTAAAAATAACAGCTACAATTGATTGAGTGTTCACTGTGCTAAGTGTATTTAGATATATCATATCATTTAATTTCTTCTGCAACCCTATAGAGTAGGCTAAATTTTACAGATGAAGAAATCGAGGCTTGGAGTAGTTAAACGACTTGTTAGTAGTGACAGAACCAGAGAGTAGAACCCATAGTAGTAGGTAATCATGATTTGGCTGTTGCTGTAATGGAAACCCACATAAAACAACTTTTATACAAAATAGAAGTTTATTCTTCTCTCACGAGAGTCTAGGGCTGAGAAGCTATGCACATGTATTTGTACAATTGTCATGGTCGCAGACTCCTTTTTATTGGCCATCCTCAGCATGCACTTCCATTTTATTCAAGATGGCCATTTCAGCTGCCAGTGTCCCACCCACATTCCTGTTGAGGACGATAAGGAAAAAGACAAGTATAATACAAGCTATTTCTCTTGTAGGGTATAGATCCTGAAATTCTCCACATCATTTGTGCTCCCATCCCTTTGAGCAGGACTAGGTCACAGAGCCAGCTAACTGAAAGGGAATCCGGGGAAGGTAGTCATTGTTCTGAGTAGTCATGTGTCCCAGTAAACCTTTTTTATGAGAGGTTTTTGCTATAAGGTGCATGGGCTTGCTGGAGAGACAGAGACAAGCTGAGATAGAGTTCCTGCTGCCATGAGCTAAGAGAGAGAAAGTGAGAAGTCACCCCCCCCCAGGGGAATGGACATGCTGTAGTCCCTTGTCCTCCTGGGATTTTGAGCATGCATACACATATGCCTTGTGTGAGTTTCAAGCTGCCAGGTCTGGGACTTGAACCATGATCGGCCATGTCAGAGTCCAGCACCTTAACCACTATGCCACCTACTGACCCCCTAGTAAAAATTATTTTTGG